GGACAGATGCGTGTACATATGACAAAGACGTTTGCAACTGACGTTCACTAGTTGCATACATAATTCTTGGGGAATTTGCAACACCCTAGAGTTTCTCTGTGTTTGTAAGCAACAAATTTTGAATAAAAGCTAAAGGATCTTTTCTCACCTCATGACTCTTCTTTTACATCTTAGTAGCATCGCATTTTAAAAGGTAGTTGCGCCGCTTTCCATTTGCATAGGTAATGGCAGGGGATGCCTTTATGAAGAGAAAATGCTTGCATTATTCGCCACACTTCGTCATTATCCGCCTTCTTCAGCTACCGTAATGACTTCAAACCTTATTGCGGCAAATATTTAACAAAACTTCGCTGTCATGCATAAAATAGGCATGGGTGCATTGCACTCCCCTTACGACTCAAATGATCATCTTTCTTGGGTAAAATGCCCAAGAAAATCATATAATTAATCTTAATTAACAAAGCAGACAACAGCTGAACTAACAGCAGCAAAAGCCTTCCTTAAAACTCAGACGGAACAGGAAAAGGAAAAATTAGGGCTAAATAGCAGCCAAGCCTTTTTAACATATGGACTTTCATCTGCATGAAAAAGTACAAATGAGATGAAAGATGACTTTGGAAACAATACGGCAAGTAAGAATGGCAAATTATGAAGTATATGCTTCTCAACAATAAGTATACTTCATTATATGTTAATTGTATGGTGAACGGTCGGATGTGGCTGTTTGATGAGGTCAGCGCCCTTCAGCACTTTATGCATAGCATAGAGTTTAGCGCTTCCCTCGCCATCACCGCTGCCTCCAGACGAGGTCACGCCTTGCGAAGTAGCACTAAATAAAGGCGTTCAGACGTGTTAATTCTTGAATTCGTTCGGAAAACGTTTCCTCCTTACAAAAAAGCTTTCTGATTAGTACGCAATTATGTTATTAAGACTGAATGGCGTGTCTGATCAAGGAAAATTGTGTCTACCGTTTGCTAAGCCACTAAGTGTAAAAATCTCCGACTGATAGGCGGTTATACCAAAGAAAGTAATCGCTTGGAGACACTAAGTTTGATGGCTAATGGCGCTTTGTTACCACCTTTCTTTAAAGCGGAAAATGGCCCGTAACTTCAAAAAGACCTGCCGCATTTGCCTTCTTAAGGAGAGGAAGAAGAAGAAGAGAAAGAACCACTATCGAAAATACCAAGTTAGGACTAAATAATTCCCTTAAGCGTCTTTTCCTCTAGGCTGCCCAAAGTGCCGACTTTAGCAGGCAAGCTCGAGGGGCTTTGCACCTTAATTTCACACTAAAAATTATTTTCAAAAGCCAAATTAGCCTCCACTTTAACAGCCGACGATGATTACACCAGACGTTCGCCATACCCGTGCTTACGCTTGTTTATTTGCCCTTCTTCGCCCCATTAACGACTCTCAAAAGACTCATGGTCTAGGCAAATATTTGCCCGTAACTAAATTATGGTCGCTTACTTAAGGCATAGCAATGACTTTGGGGCTGTTATTTTGCATTTTATTGTTTTTTTCCCATTTGAATCGGGTGAACAACCATTTTAATTGTTCCTATTTTACCCAACAGTCGCCATCACGCCAGCTTATCCTTCCTTTGCCCAACCGCTAGGCGAATGCACTTTGGGGGCAAAATGTCTAAATAGAAGTATTTAACAATTTATCACTTGTCAGATCACATTCCTTTAACATAAATATATTAATTAACCACTTCTGGTAGATTCAACCTTTCCACCTGACTTTTCTTCATTAATTAATAAGCTAAGTGACCCTTCCAGGGCAAAGATTACCTTTATCAAGGGAGGATTAAATAGATGTAGTAAAGTTTTCGGTGTGGTGTTTTCCTTATAACTAGTAAAAACCAGGACGATGCGCACAATTTGTTATGTTTCTGTAAAATTGGCGCGTTTTCATTTATTACAGTGTTTTACATGTAATTGTCCGCTCTTCCAACCTCGTTTCAATTCGGCGATCCGTTTTACGCATTGCCTACTTGGCTACCAAGAACATTCATTATTCAACCTTCAATGTTAAAACGCATGGTCGAGTTGGTAGGATTGGTATCAGTTCCGCGAAGCAGTATGGCTTCTTAGTTAGCCCCATGGAGGATCATTCTATTGTTGTTAAGAAAACAGTAGTCTTTTATGTTTCATCCTCACCTCACTAATAAGGCAGTTGTGCATCCTACAAGACTCAGAGCTGCACGGTTATGCGAGGTTAAGTTTGCTAACTCTTTACAGCACCTTGCGCCGTCATGTCCGATCCCATAGAGACAATGAACTGTACATTGAACTTCTATTTCTACCCGCCTATTTTGCACACCTTTGTTTCCCACTGCGGTATGATTTCGTTGAACAGAAGCGCGCTGCACAGTGAAAACAGATTTGGCCTTTGTTCTGCAATAGAGGGGTGGTTGGGGCACACCTGAGGCTGCTGGTCATTGAGGCAGGTTTTAACTTCTCCCCCTCAAAGTGTCTGTTTTGCAACGGTGAAAATAATAAGACTCACTGAACCAAATTTGCGCGGTGACTTGCGGCGTCGTCGCCAACCGACTAGTGCTGTTGTTCTTGCCTTACTGGCGGCTGCAAATACTTCCTCTTATCTATGGATTGCACGCAGGCACGCATTGTCATTACTAAAGTAATTGCACTCCTCCGAAATAAGTATTTGTTTGGTGAAACGATGAGTTGTAAGCATAACAATTAAAACCTCTGCTCTTACGAAAGGATTTTAGTCCAAATAAAGGTGCACAAAGCTTGTGGATTAATGTTGTTGTACACTAGAGGATGCTCGTCGAAAGGCACGTTGCATGCAATACATTCTACTTTACTACTATCCCTCTAAATTGTAGATGCGCTGGTCACTTGGAGTCCTGCAACCACCCCACATTTAAGCGATTTCGATTTCACATATCATACTTCACTGCCTACATTAGATTTGGTGTGGCGAATACAGCTGAAGCAGCCTCCGCATGGTTAACAGTGCTGGTTTCAGTGGAGCGCTATATGGCAATGAAGTTTCCAATGTTGGCGCTTACCTACTGTCGACAGGGCTCGGGAAAAATGCATGTTTTTATTATCATTCTCCTGGCCGTGGCTTTCAATTCTCCACTCTTTTTCATACTACGAATTTCACAGAAAAATGTAACATCGGAAAACGGTGAAACCCGAACTGTTCTTGGCTCCCGACTGACAGCCTTTGGAGAATCCACCGATTATGATGTCTACACGTGGTTCCGTTTCGTCCTCGTTCAAATCATCCCCCTAATTGCATTGTGTATATTCAGTACCCTTCTCATCAATGTGGTGAGTGAGAGCTACCGCAAACCACGACGTAATGAGGTGGCTAGTGCGGTGACGGGACACAAAGTAACACAGGAATTGGTGGAAATTACTAACTCGAGGAAAAGTGGAAACTGCTTGAAGCATCAGCGTGTCACAAAACAAATACAACTGGACAGGAGGCAGCGGGCTCAAACAAAGCTGACCATTATGCAGATTTGCGTGATCTTTCTATTCCTTATTGGTCAAATCCCGCAGGCCTTCTCGTTCGAGAAGATCTCCAATGCGATAATGCCACCGTGGTGTGGTCGCTGCTGTAAACTGAAAATCTACTATCGCATGTGTAGCATGGTTCTCAGTCAAATAAGCTACTCCCTCTCCTTCTTCATTTACCTCAGCCTTAACAGGTACTTTCGAAAGACCCTCTTAACCTGCTGCAGGAACAAACCAGTGGAACAAAACACCCGCGCATCACGAGTAGCATAGACTGAACAAGCACATATTCCCTCTGGATTTTAAATACTCTCCCCTTAGATTCCGACGAAGTCAGAAATATTTTATTAAAAAAGCACTACCTACAACCCACCTCGACCTCTACGTTCCCGTGTTACAGACCATTTCCAAAATATGAATGCCAGTGAATCATCAGTCCCTTCATAAGCAAGTTTGAAGTTTCGTAGCATTATCACTAAAGTAACGGCAGTTTTCTCTGACACTAATGACAGGACAAAATAGGAATGCATTTAGTCATTAGTAGCTTCAAGAAACTGCTGCCAAGAGGTTGGATTGCGCAAAATGAAAATGTCATTTCTTATTAAAATTCGTAAACCCGCATTTTAGGATAAAGCTCGAGTAGGTCTGTCTGTCCCCATCTTTGTTTCTCTCCTGTAAGAGCAATTAAAGTTGAACATTCAAGAAAAAGACACTTAAACAGTAACTACAGTTGACATTTATGCATCAAACTAATTTGATTGCTGCGAAAATTTATTTGGGTGGTAAATCCCATGTCGAAGCCTATAAACTGATGTGTAAATTTTATGCTTGCAATGGAGTTCCAGATTCACTCCGACGTAGGTTTAGTGTTTCTTCGCTTAAAAACAGCTTCATAAATTTATCACAAAAAGGAGAGACTGGTCAGACCTTTGACTGTCAGCGGAACTTCTTCATTCCAGATTCTTCATAAACACTTCTTCCGGTGAGATCTGTTTGCATCGTCCTGCCCAAACTCGAAATCACCTTACTTTTGGTGACAGTTTTTTGTCCACCGTCCGTTAATTATTAACTAGGGAATAGTTTTTATTAAAACATGCAGGAGTTCCGCTGACAAGTCTGCACAGGATGCATAATGAAGACAACTAGTAGTTGTCTTCATTTTTGAAAAAGGAAAATTCGTTTCTAACCCTTTAGTCCAACTTTAGGAAAAGTGGTTCTGCCTTGAAAGGGTGCTTTTTAACGCCTATTTTGGGTCAGCAGTTACTTCAATCTAACGTTTGGGATTGTCAATGTAAGTGGACCTTGCTTCCAGATTGTTATCCTCCTTTCCATCATAAAAATTTGGTTGGCAGTTTTTGCCTAGGGCAACCTTGATTGACCCTAATCGTCAGTTGATTCAATTCTTTATAACAACTTCTTGCCATTCCGTGCTGCAGCACATCTTTGGATGCAAGATTTCGTTTGATGAAGGCTAAGATTATGGGCCGCCACTCTGCAAATAACGGACCTTTATAGAACTCCAAATCTAGGGTGACCTAACTTGTAAAATTCCCATTTGAAGAAAGCCATTACCTTTTATTAGTCTTCTGATGACTTCTTTACTCATCTGAAGTTAAAAAGCGCATAGGTATGGGGAATGGCAGCGCGGCCAAAACCAAGATGCTCTTAGTTGACAATAGGCGATTGAAATAAGATTTGCACATTAGAGAATGTTTGATGGGTTTGATTCGCAGATCCAAAGTTATAACACTGGTGGACGAAAACTCCTCATTCTCAAAGCTCTAAGGCGTCTACTTATGTATGTCAATCCTAGTCACTGTAGTAAAAGTAATTGAATAGCACCTACTGAAAGGCTAAGTTGAATGAATGCTATTTTTTGCAGAAATTGTAGTTTTTGAAATCACTGTGCCATTTACGCATCTTAGGTCACACCAAAAGACGCGTATAAGACGACATTTACCTGCAGTTATCGTTTACTTTTTACTGAGCGGGAGGCAAGTCTAACACAGTTGGCGCGTCCACTTTTGCACGGGGCAGAGGTGACAATCCACCGAATCGTCAAAGATTGCAGAGGCACTTTAGTCTTGAGGTTTTTAACATTTTTGGTAGGCTGTTTACAACTCAAGCCTGAAGCTCCTCCTATTTTTTTACGAACGCTCTCCCATAATACTGATCTACATTATTTTGATATCAAAAATATAATTGCAACCCATTGTTAATGGCAGATACGAGTTAAGGGAGTGGCAAACAATTGGCAAATTTTTATCCAATCCATCTATGTAAGGGACATTTGGGGAAAACAGGCGAAAAACAGTTAGGAAAAAAGCTGTTACTTTTGATCCCAGCAGAGATTAGTCTATTCTGTTTAGAGTTCCCTTTAAGCTCACATAGATATACAGCTATACAGAAATGCCTTTAAAAGCAATTTCCTCTTGTTATCGTCCAAGTCGCTTAAAGTGTTGTAATTTTAACTTGACAACCAAAAGTGTTTTGTCCTTCAACAAAAACACCTTTCTAGTTGATGTTTTGTTGTGTCCAGCCATTTTTTCATCTCCTTATAGTGGACACTTAACACGTACACTTCCTATTAACTACATTGTGTTATGGAATCCCTCTGAATTGATCAAAATGGTGGCAAAATAATGAATCGAAAAGAAAGTGGAACACAGAGGCCAAGACCGATAAATTATCCGACTGGGTTACGTTCGTCCTCCATTTCCCAAGGAAAACACATTAATGTGTTCAAACAAATTCGCTTTAACCAATTTGAAGGGCTTTAAAGGCGTAATTTTCAAAGT